CCCCACGCCCCCCCAAACACACCCACCCCCCACACACACCACACACACATTGAATAAAACCTTAAAAAAAACTAGGGATGGAGAGATGGCTCCGCATTTAAAAGCACATAATGTCTTGCAGAGGATCTGAGTTCAGTCCCAGCTCACAACCGCCTGTAACTCCAGTGTCAGGAGATCCAACACCTTCTCTGGCTCTTCATGGGAACCTGCACTCAAATGCACATACCCCACCTACCCACACATACAATTAAATAAAAAGTAAATTTTTTTTTTGAGACAGGGTTTCTCTGTGTGGCTTTGGAGCCTATCCTGGCACTCACTCTGGAGACCAGGCTGGGCTCAAACTCACAGAGACCCGCCTGCCTCTGCCTCCCGAGTGCTGGGATTAAAGGCATGCGCCACCAGTGCCTGGCAAAAAGCAAATCTTAAAAAATAAATTCATAAGTAAATTATCCTTAGAATACATGTAGTGCCCATGGCAGTATAAATGCTACACAAATAGTTGTTAAACTGTTTTGCTTGAGAAACAATAACAAGAAAACAATCTGTATATGTTTTAATATGGACACATTTTTCCCCATACATATTTAAAATTTTTATTTATTATTAGTTTTGTGTGGGTGTGCATTTGTGACAGTGCACCTCTGGAGGTCACAGGACAACTTTGTGGAGTCAGGTCCTGTCCTTCCACCTTTATGTAGGTTGTGGAGGTTGAACTTAGGTCATTAGGCTTATGCAGCAACCATTTAACCTGCTGAGCCATCTTGCCAGCTCCTTCCTCAATATTTTGTTGTTTGTTTTTGAGTCAGGGTCTCTCTATATAGTCCCGGGTGGCCTGGAATTCACATAGATCAGGCTGGCCTCAAATGCATATAAATCCTCCAGCGTCTGCCTCCAGAGCACTGGAGCTCAGCTGATCCCCATACTTTTGATCTGTGGTCAGTCGAGTCTGTGCATGCAGAACCTGCACCTATGGTAGCTGACTGTCAAGTAGTGCTGTAGGAAAAATTTAAAGGCAAAATTCTAGAAAAATGAGCTGGGGAAGAGCAAGGGAAGAGGAAGGAGTGGGGCAGGATGACCTCTTTGGGGGCCTCAGGTGAAACCTGGGGCCTCAGGTGAGACCTAGCTGCTTCCTTCCCAGGAATCTGGAGGTGCACTTGGGGAAACATAACTTACGGCAAACAGAGAGCTTCCAAAGGCGTATCTCTGTGGATCGGACAATTGTCCACCCCCGATACAACCCTGACACCCATGACAATGACATCATGATGCTGCATCTGAGAAATCCAGTCAAATTCTCTCGAAAGATCATGCCTCTGCCCTTGAAGAAAGACTGCTCGAAGGAGAATCCAAGCTGTCAGATCCTGGGCTGGGGCAAGACAGAAAACGGTCAGTGAGGGGAGGATGGTTGGGAGTGACCGAAGAGACCAAAGAGAGGAGGTCTAAAGATAGAGATGGGGTGGTAGACGGTGGGCTGTGAGAAAAGGCTGATGGAGAAGACTAACAGGCTGCTCTATTTATGGCAGAAGATGAATGGAGGGGGAGGAGTTGGACGAATGTGGACAGATGAATAGCATGGAGAAGATGGCCACAAAATGAAAGGCCAATGAGAACTCATGGGGAGGCAATGAATAGTCAGGAAACCAGGGCAATAATGATGGGGAAAGGAAACGGTCAGGAGGCAGTGACTGGGAAGATGGATTTTAAGCACGAGAGAAACAAGAAAGAAATCAGTAGGAAATGGGGGAAAGGGCAGTGAAGACATAAGAGGAGAGACTCACATGTCTCTCCCTGACCCATCTCCCTCCTCCCAGGTGACTTCCCAGACACCCTTCAGTGTGCTGATGTCCAACTGGTGTCCCGGGATGAGTGTGAGCGTGCCTACCCTGGTAAGATCACCCGAAACATGGTGTGCGCGGGCAACAAGAAAGAAGGGAATGATTCCTGCCAGGTGAGAATGGGAGTAGAGACCTGAAATCAATCACAAAGGCAGGAAGACAGAGACACAGACCAAAAGAGAGCAGAACAGGGGGCACTGGAGGACAAGAAAGTCCATCTCACACAAGCAGAGATAAGAAAGAAACAAGGCAGCTTGGGCAAAGAGGATGACTCAGCCAGTAAAACACATGCCATGCAAATATGAGGACCTGAGTTGAAGGACATAATGGCATGTGCTTGTCATCCCAGTACTGGGAGTGAGAGGCAGGCAGATCCCTGGGGTTCACTGGCCAGCCAACCTAGCCTAATTGGTGATCTGGGGCCAATGAGAGACCCTGTCTCAAAAAAAAAAAAAAAAAACCACAGTAGATGATTCCAGAAGAAGGATACCTAAAGTTGACTGCTGGCCTCCACATGCACACGTACATACCTGCATGCACATATATATTCTCACATGTTCACCTGCACACACACACACACACACACACACGACACCAAGCAGAAACAGGAAATTCAGATGCAAGGACAGAGAGGGAGACACCAAGAGCCAGAGACACACTACAATGGCTAGACAAATATGGGTGAACCTAGAAAGCTTGAAAAATTTAAAGTTTCAATGAATGGTCACCTTGGTTGAAGTTTTGAACAACTGGAGAGACTCAAGGGCCAAACAGATGTTACAAAGAGCCATCCTTCCTCAGGGCTGTAGTCATGAAGCCCACTTGGAAATGGCTGAGCTCCAGAGGAGAGGGCATCCCAGCTGCAAAGACAGGGACTCTGTTTATCCCTCAAAACCTGCAGCCGGCTCCTCTGGAACTCACTCATACACCTTGGCTTGTCTCAGACTCACAGAAAGCCTCTGGGGCAATGGACGACAGGCCTGCACCACCACACCCATCTAGTCTTCAATACCTTACCTGAAGCGTCCCTATTATCCTTCCACACTCCTTTTTATGCCAGAATGACTCTAGACCATGAAGGGCTGAAATCAATCTACCAAGGAAGCAAGGGTGGGGGGTGAGGAGGCCAAGAAAGTGATATAGTGATTTGGGAGGAAAGAAAGAACAGGTAGACATGGCTGGCCTGGGAACAAGGGGAGGAGGGCGTTAAGTTTTTTGTCTCCCTCTTGAGTCCCTGCCTTCCCCATCTCTTCCACTGGTCTTAGCATTTTTGCCCACCCCCACCATTGACAGCCTTTACTTTTATGGACCTTGGTGTCTCTCTCTGTCCTGTGATCTCTTCCTGTAGTGATGAGAACAAACATCTACTCACCCCAGGCAGGAAACCAACAACCGACCAAAGAATGGTTGGGGTTACTTACAGGAACAGAAATTACTCACCCAGCACTGGTGACAGCTCACCAAAGCTGAGCAGAGCACACACTGTGTAGCCTGAAGGCAGCTCAGCAGGATGGAGAGTGTCTCTCTCTAGCAGTGGGGGCAGTCAGAACCTCTTCTGGGCAGCTCATCTTGTCTGAGAGTGACTCTTAGTAGTCCTTACTGTTTATATATGCTTGGAGAAGAAGGGGCCAGTGCATCTGGTCAGTTTCAGGGACTTCCTGAAGCCTTTGAGTTGTTTGTTTATTGAGCTTTAAGGATCTTTTCTGTGGGGTGGAATGTTTCAACTCCCCTTGGAACATCCTGGGTCTTGACCTTCCCTCCAGGACGGATGGCTTGTCTGAACGCCCTCTCTCCCACTCATACCTTTATGAAACCTGGTGTCTTGAGTTTCATACCCTACCTACCTCCGTCTTTTACTGGGTACTGAATCCAGGTTCTTACACATGCTCAGCAAGTGCTCTATCAGTGAACCACACCCCTATCCCTCTTATACTTTGAGACAGGGTCTTCCTACATAGCACAATCTGGCCTTAAACTTGCAATCCTCCTGCCTCAGCATCTTGAGTAGTTGAGATAGCAGGCATGCACCACTACACCAGTCTTTTCTTCCATCTCTGAGTGTCTCTAACTCTCCCTTTCTACCCCCCATTCCTCCTCTCCCTCCTCCTTCTGTGTGAGTTTCTGATTTTCTCTCTTCCACATAGGGTGATTCTGGAGGTCCCCTGGTATGTGGAGATCGTCTCCGAGGTCTTGTGTCATGGGGTGACTTGCCCTGTGGATCAAAGAAGAAGCCGGGAGTTTACACTGATGTTTGTTCCTACACCAGATGGATCCAAAACATCATAAAAAACAAGTGGCTCTGACATGAGATTCCCAAGTCTTGACCTACGACTCCCCCTACCCCTGGCTAGTCACAGCTTCTCTCTCCCTGAGACCCTACCCTACACTCAGAGCCTTCTTAATGATGCTTAATAAATGTAGTGACAGCCAGCACAGATCATCACTAAATATCCTCTGCTCAATCTTTGTGTCCCAGGGATATGGGAGGGTACAGGTGACAGTCCTACCCCACTGGGCACTGTGGGAAGTGCTTTCCTTTATAGTGTGAATGTTCTCATCTGTAAAATTGGGCTATTATGGGGCTGGAGAAATGCTTGGTGGTTAACAGCACTTATTGCAAGAACAAGGAGGAAGTGTTTCTTCACCTCTACCAGTGAAGGCACTTTCTATTTTTCCCTTTCTGCTCCTTAGAAGTCTAGCCTGGCCCACTGCTTTACAACCCAATTTGATATCCACCCTGGACTCCTCTGCCTTGCTCTGGTCCCTCAGAGATAACCTTCCTCAAACTCTTTTTGTAGTGTTGTAGTGTAGGTGAGAGAGCTACAGTCCACCACACCAAAATCAGAGTCCTTTATTTTGAGTCAGAGATCAAGAGTGGGCTAATGCCTCAGAATGACTCTTGATGCCAAAGTTCAAGGGTACAGTGTTTTTGTTGTTGTTTGGCATGGTTGCATTGGTTGGTTGGTTGGCTGGTTGGTTGGTTGGTTGGTTGGTTGGTTTGAGACAAAAAGTCTCTGTGTAGCCATGGCTAACCTGGAATTTGCCATGTAAATTAGTGTTTTCATAGGCAGGAAACACAATTGCATCCATATTAGCTAAGGGTCACGGTAACCTTGAAACATTTTTTTTTGACAGAGCGTAGTAGTAATTTCAGACATAACATGACAATTAATTTTTATTTAAGTCTTTTTTGTTATTTCCATTAATGTTTAGTTTGTATAAATATTAAATATTTTAATGAGTACATCTGGACCATGGTCGGGGTCATGGAAATTCCAAATGTAATGCCAAGATGGACATGGCTGTTGGTGGGGGAGGAGGGAGAGGACCGAGAAGAGTCTAAGTAGACATGGAGTCAGGACAAGATGGCATTTATTCACTTCAGCGAAAAATAAGGAGGTGAAGCCAGGTGTGGTGGCTCACACCCTTAATCCCAGCACTCAGGAGGCCAAGGCAAGTGGATCTCTGTGAGTTCGAGGCCAGCAAGGTCTACACAGTGAGTTCCAGGAAAACCAGACAAACAAACAAAAAAACAAGGTTCAAGGACTATGAAATTATGGTAGGATAAGAGTGATGGGAGGTAAGTGTCATAAAGGACTTCAGGTACCGTTACCTGAGATGAGGGATTTCTCCTGAAGGTCATAGGAAGACACAGAAAGTTTGAGAGTAGCCATATTCAGGGAGCCAAAGGGAAAAGACCATGCCTGTGGGGTGTGAGAGTGGCTTTGGCGATGGTGCAGACTGGGAAATGGTGGGACTGGGCCTGGGAGGGTTGAAGACAGGTATCTGGGTGTGGAGGTCAGGTGGGCAGCAGCAGCAGTAAGGGAAAGCCTAGCTGTAAGAGCTTCTGAAGATGGCACTAGACTATGGAATTTGAGGCAAGAGAAACAGGTGAAGTGACTGAAGACATCCGTCTACAGATGATGGCATGACTGTGGGCCAGCAGGGCAAACTGGACTTGACTCTGAGAGAATATAACAGGCTCAGAGCTGAGAGTTAGAACCTTAAGAAGTTCTTTGGGTTTTTGAGAAAAGATCTCATGTAGTCCAGACTAGCCTTGAACTCTTCACACGGCCTTGGACTTTTGATCCCCCTGCCTCCACCTACTGAGTGCTTAGATTATAAAATGCACCATTATATGCTCAGTTTTATGTGTGCTATTGGGTTCTGTCTTAGCTAGGGTTTTGATTGCTGTGAAGAGACACCATGACCACAGCAACTCTTATAAAGGAAAGCATTTAATTGGGGCTGGCTTACAGTTCAGAGGTTCAATCCATTATCATCATGACAGGGAGCATGGCAGCATGCAGGAGACATGGTGCAGGGGAAGGAGCTGAGTGTTCTGCATCTTGATCCACAGGCAATGGGAAGTGAACTGGCTGAGAACTCAAAGCCCTCCCCCACAGTGACACACTTCCTCCAATAAGGCCACACTGTCTAATAGTGCCACTCCCTATAGGCCAAGCATTCAAAAATATGAGTCTATGAGGGCCATATTCAAGCCACCACACTGGTGAGTGAACCTAGGGCTTTGTACATGTTGGACAAGCCTTCTGCTAGAGCTTCACCCTGATAATCAAAGAAATATCAATTTTATAGACAGTTCACAATGGGGAATGGCAGGATAAAATGGTGACAGCCAGGCAGTCTCAACCAACGCTCTATAAACATTGGGAACAGTAAATATAATCATGAAACTGACCAGAGTTACCAAGAAGAATACAGAAATGGGTGTCAGACTAAGGTGCCCTTCAGCTCCCTGAGTGGGCTCTGTAGTCTCCTGTTTAACTGTGAGGTTGCTTACAGTTTGAGAGGGTGAATCAATGACTCCATAGCAGGGAGCAGGGTGGGGACAGGCAGGCATGGTACTGGAGCAGAAGCTGAGAACTTAAGTCTTAATCGGCAATACCTCCCAATCCTTCCCAAAACAGTTGCACCAACTAAGAACCAAGCATTCAAATACATGAGCCTATGGGGGCCATTCTCACTGGAACCACACATTCTTCCTACTCAGGCCATTAAGCCAGGACAACAGAAAATTTAAGTCGAGTGTAAACAATTTAGGGCAACCCTGTGCCCAAATAAAGTAAAAAGAGTGGTGGGGATGCAATTCACTGCTACAGCCCCTGCCTGGAATCCCCCAGTGAGAGCCTGGGGTGTGGCTCATCCATCACCCAGTATATGGCAGAGGTTGTGGCTCAGGGGTAAACCCCCTGCCAAAATCTGCCTGCCATGTGTGAGGCCCTGGGTCCCCTGCTTTCCCCTGATCCCCCTCAAAAGTATCAATCAATAAAAGGGGAATGATGACCACAAAACACAGTATAACCATCTTTAAGCACACATTTGTCACATGCCACAATTCTGCCTTTCATGCTGTTAACTCCTTAGATCCTGTGCCAAACCTGTGTTATAGAAGCCATCATTGCTGTTATCTTGTAAACAGAGAAACTGAGGCACAAGAAAAGCCACTGTCTCCCATACTGGAGCCTTACTCCCCTCCATCACCTTCAACTTCATGTGACAAGGGTCAGAATCGGCCTGGAAATTGGGTGTGGGTTTTTTAAGTGGAATCTCCACACATGGGATTCTTACTCATATGAGTAAGTTAAAGAGAATTTTCCTATTACAGGCAGGCTTTAACTTTAGATTAGAATGTGTAACTTTTTTAATCTGTGATTTTCTTGCTTTTCTCTTGCCTGTCTTTGGTGCCACTACAGATGGAACTCGAGGCCTCACACATCTTAGACAAGAGCATCATCTCTGAGATGTATCCCATCCCCTGTTATACAATAATATCTTAATATCTTAAAACATTCTCTCTCTCTCTCTCTCTCTCTCTCTCTCTCTCTCTCTCTCGCTCTCTCTCTCTCTCCCTCTGTGTGTGTGGGGGGGCTGAGTGCCTTAGCTCATGTGTATGAATGCAGGAGTGTACATGCCAGGTCTCTTGTGGCAGTCGGAGGACAATCTCAGGCATCAGTCCTAGTCTTCCACCTTGTTTGAGACTAGGTCTCCACCTCTCTGTTGCCACGCTAGATGACCAATGAGTGTTTGTGGACTCTCTGGTCTGTCTCTCATTCTACCAGGAGTGCTGGAATACGACACATGATATCATGTCTGACTTTACTTAGATTCTGTGGGTTTGAATTCAGGGCTTTATACATGTATAGAAAGTCAGAAAGTGGGGAGGAGTGTCAAGAAATAGTGTCTTCTAGGCATGACATGGTAACTGCACTCATGAATTTGTAGACAGCACTGCCTACATTTTTTTCAAATGGAGAGATCTCATTCTAGCAACTCAGCATCACATCTGAAAGCTCTAGGACAAAAAGAAGCAATCACACCCAAGAGGAGTAGACTGTAAGAAATGATCAAACTCAAGGATGAAATTAATAAAATAAAAACAAAGAGAGCAATACAAAGAATAAATGAAACAAAGAGTTGGTTCATTGAGAAAATCAACAAGATAGACAAACCCTTATCCAAACTAACCAAAAGGCAGAGAGAGAGAACATGAAAATTAACATCAAATTAAATGGACAGAAACTCAAAGCAACTCCACTAAAATCAAGAACAAGACAAGGCTGTCCACTCTCTCCATATCTGTTCAATATTTTACCTGAAATTCTAGCTAGAACAATAAGACAACAAAAGGAGATAAAATGGATACAAATTGGAAAGGATTTGAAGCAAGAAACTGAAGAAGATATCAGAAATTATAAAGATCTCCCAAACTCATGGATTAGCAAGCTTAACATAGTAAAAATGGCCGTCCTACCAAAAGCTTTCTACAGATTCAAGGCAATCCCCATAAAAATTATAACACAATTCTTTAGTTCTAGAAAAGACAAAACACAACTGTATGTGGGAAAAAAGGATAGCTAAAAAATGCTGAACAATAATAGATCTTCCAGAGGTATCACCATCCCTGATTTCAAGCTGTACTACAGAGCTACAGTTATAAAAATCCACATGGTATTGGCATAAAAACAGACACATTGATCAATGGAATCGAATTGAAGACTCAGACATAAATTCACACACCTGACTTTTGATAAAGAAGCAAAAATACACAATGGAAAAAAGAAATAATCTTCAGCAAATGGTGCTGGTCTAACTGGATGTCTACATGTAGCAGAATGCAAGTCCACATCAGCCTGCACAAAAACTCAAGTCCAAGTGGATCAAAGACATCAACATAAAACCAGGTACACTGAAACTGACAGAAGAGGAAGAGGGGACTAGCCTTGGATGCATTGGCACAGAAGATGGCTTCCTGAGCAGAATTCTGATAGCACAGGCACTAAAATCAACAGTCAATAATGGGACCTCATGAAACTGAAAAGTTTCTGTAAGGCAAAGAACACCATCAATAGGAAAAATGGTCGCCTACAGAATCTTTTCCCAAAGATTGTCACCAACTCCATATCAGATTTAGGGCTAATTTCCAAAATATATGAAGAATGCAAGAAACCAGATATCAACAAACCAAATGATCCAATTAAGAAACAGGGTATGAGGCTGGAGAGATGGCTTAGCAGTAAAGAGCACTGGGTGCTCTTCCAGAGGACCCAGGTTCAATTCCCAGCACATGGCAGCTAACAACTGTCTGTAACTCCAGTTCTAAGGAATCTGACACCTTTGCACCAATGCACATAAAATAAAGTTAAATAAATTACTTAAAAAAAAACAGCCGGGCTTTGGTGGTGCACGCCTTTAATCCCAGCACTCAGAAGGCAGAGGCATATCTCTGTGAGTTCGAGGCCAACCTGGTCTACAGAGGGAGTTCCAGGACAGGTTCCAAAACAATACAGAGAAACCCTGTCTCAAAAAGAAAGAAAGAAAGAAAGGAAGGAAGGAAGGAAGGAAGGAAGGAAGGAAGGAAGGAAGGAAGGAAGGAAAAGAGAAGAAAAGAAAAGAAAAGAAAAGAAAAGAAAAGAAAAGAAAAGAAAAGAAAAGAAAAGAAAAGAAAAGAAAAGAAAAGAAAAGAAAAGAAAAGAAAAGAAAAGAAAAGAAAAGAAAAGAAAAGAAAAGAAAAGAAAAGAAAAGAAAAGAAAAGAAAAGAAAAGAAAAGAAAAGAAAAGAAAAGAAAAGAAAAGGGGTGCAGATCTAAACAGAGAATTCTCAATAGAAGAATTTCAAATGGCTGAGAAACACTTAAGGAAATGTTCAACATATCCTTAGCCATGAGGGAAATGCAAATCAAAACTGCTTTGAGATTCTATCTTACACCTGTCAAGAGTGGCTAAGATTGATAACACAAGTAACATGCTGGAGAGGATGCAGAGCAAGGGGAACATTCCTTCACTGCTAGTGGTGGTGCAAACTTGTATAGACACTACAGAAATCAATATGGTGATTCCTCAGAAAGTTGGAACTTGATATACCTCAAGATTCAGATATACTGTTCTTGGGCATATACCCAAAGGACTCTCTGCCCTACCACAAGTATGCTTGCTCAGCTATGTTCATAGAGGTTTTATTCATAATAGTCAGAAACTGGAAAGCACCTAGATGCCGTACAATCTAAGAATGAATAAAGAAAATGTGGTACATTTATACAATGGAGTATTACTCCACAGTTTTTTTTTTAATGACATCATGAAATTTGCAGGCAAATGGATGAAACTAGAAAACGTATCCTAAGAGAGGTAACCCAGACCCAGAAAGAGAAACACGGTATGTACTCACTTATAAGTGGATATTGGCTGTTAAGTAAGTGATAACCAAGCTGCAGTCCACAGACCCAGAGAGGCTAAGTAACAAGGAGGGCTCAAGCAGGGGGAAATAGAATAGATTTTGCTGATGGACTGGTGAAGGGTGGGGAATGGGAGTGGAGGCTAAGACCCACAGTCAAACATTAGGCAGAGAGAGACAGAGCCCAAGTTGGAAGTCTCCATAAGGTCCCTCTCTGAGCTTGAAGAACCACTTGTAAGATGGGGAGGAGGAATTGTGGGAGCCAGAGGAGTCAAGGAAACCTGGAGAGCAAGGCCTGTGGCATCAACTAAGTAAGGCTCTGGGGGCTGGAAGAGACTAAAGGGGCAATCAAAAGCCTGCTTGTGTCTATGAGGTCCTCTGCATATATGTTATATTTGTTGGCTTGGTTACTCTGATTCTTTTCACAGCTTTGAGAACCCTTTTCCTCCTGGGTTACCTTGCCCAGCCTTGGTGTGAGGTTTTGTGCCTGCTCTCACTATATCTTGTTGAGTTGTGTTCGGTTGATGTCCCTGGGAGTCCTGCTCTTTTCTGGGGGAGATGAGGCGGTGGGTGGATCTGGGGGAAAGAGCAGGTGGGGTGAACTGGGAGGAGTGGAGGGAGGGAGGGAGGAAGGCTGCAGCCAGGATATGTTCTATGAGAAACGAGTAAATAAAAAATTTAAAAAACAAGCAAGCATTGGGAGGGGTGGGGATCTGGGAGGAGCTGGAGGGGGCAATGAGGACGAATATGACCAAAAGGCATTGTACACGTGAATGGAATTCTCAACAAATAAACTTAAAACTGGTTTTTAAAACAATCTGTCTAGGGGCTAGAGAGGTGGTTCAGCAGGTGAGAGTTCTGGCTGTTTTCCAGAGAAGCCAGGTTCAGTCCCCAGCACCCACACGTTAGCTTACGCTGCCTGTAATGCCAGGTCCAGGGAATAGGGCTTCCTCTGCCTTCCATGGGTACCTGCATGCTGCATATGCAGACAAGCTTGCAAAACACGCATACATATTAAAACCAAACCTTAAAAAGAAAGAAGATACTGCTAGAATTAAAACAACTGAGGTATTATGTAGCTCAGTTGGTAGGGCTGGCCTGCTATCCATGAAGCCCTGGATTTGATCCGAAACACTGCATCAAACAAGTTGTGGGGGATCATACAACTCCAGCACTCAGGAGATAGAGGCAGAGCAGTCTGGGGTCCAAGGTCATCAGCTATGACATGGGTTCAAGACTAACATGGGCTACATGAAACCTTGTCTAAAAGAATGGTAGTTTATAACTAAATGTGGTGGCTCACACCTGTAACCCCAGCCCTTGGAAGACTGAGGCTGGAAAATTGCCATGAGCTCTTATCTCAAGAAACAAAAATGGGCTGTGGAGACCTCTCAGTAGGTAAAAAGCACTTACTGCGGAGCCTAATGATGTCAGGATTGGTTTCTGAGACAGACCCATATGGTAGAAAGAGAGAACCAACTCCTGCAGGCTGTCTTCTGACCTCCACTCCAGTATGCACATTCTCAAGTGCACACACAACATCAAATAAAATACTTAAATGATAAAGTAAGAAGTCAACTATAATATAATACAAATTTTAAAAATAAAACAGTTAACAACTACAAACTGAACCTAAAAGACCATGTAAGTCACAGCAAATACCAAGGGAGAGATGGTGCTGATTTTATAGCTTTAATGTATGAAATACAAATTCCAAGAATCACATTAAACCTCCTTGTGAGTTTTACTGTTTGGCTTTTCTTCCTGTGCATGAAAGCCCACCCCAGGCTCTAAGGCCTCTACTGGAACCTGCACATCTTCATGGCTGTCATTCATGGGGAGCAGATTTGTGTCTGGCATTAGGCTCTGGATGCTGGGCTCCCACCTCCCTGTGGGGATAAAGACCTGGAGAATTTAAGTGGGGGCGTCAACAGAAAGAGAAGTTAGGACAGAGAAGAGGTCAAGGGTGAGGCTGCCGAGGGTCAGGGTCAGACAGAGAGGGGTGGTGCTCTGCTCGCCATCCAGTGTCCCATTTCCCAAAGCACTAGAAGCCACCCACCTCTGGTCCTGGCTCTTGGCCTCTTTTTCCATTAACAAGTTGCCCTGCCCAGCTATGTCATCCACGTCTGGCTGTGCCAGCTGAACCAGGGCACCTGGCGGGGGCAGCCTGCTTCCCTGCCTCTTGCTGACCCTTGGCCTGGGACCCACTATGGGGAGCAGAAGTGGGTCCTGGGTTTCAATTGCAAATTGCCTTGTCTCCCCTGCCCAAACAACAGGGAGGGTAATACAGTGACAGAAAGGGACAGGGGCCCAATAAGCAGAGAGATAGAGATAAGAGGCAGACAAAGAGAGGTAGAAAAGAAAGACAGACAGGGAGAGAGAAGACGGGGAAAGGATAAAGCAGAGAGACAGAGAAAGAGAGCAAGACTTCGAGAGAAAAGGAAGGATAGTGACAGAAGATAGTGAGGAGGAGGAGCAGCGACAGAGAGACACCGGGATGCCCAGGAGGTAGACAGAGAGACATGGGTGCAGAGAGGTGGGGAAAGACACGCTGACAGACTCTGAAAGGTCCTGTGAGGACTGACATAGGTCACAGGTAGAGGATTTTAAAAACAGAAGAAGACGGAAGGAGATGAGATGTAGTGAACGAGTGGATTTGACACAGGGAAAAGGAAAATTAGGAAGCCTCGCTCTGGAAGAGCACCTCTGAGCTGGTGAGAAGCCAAGTGAGAGGAGGGCCTGCCTGGCTGAGGACCCCTCCCCATCCTCGGGGCCAGGGAGGGAGGGAGTGGCACTAGGCACTGGGTGGGGGGTGTTCTGGGGGTGGAGGGAGGGGAGACAGGAAGAGTGAGTGCTGGGGCCCAGACTGACAGGAACCTCACTGCCAGGGAATGTGCCCCGGGGACCAGTGGGTGGTTATATCACCAGGTGCCAGCACAGAGGAAGAGGTGGTGGCTGCAAAGCCCAGGCCAGCTTGAGAAGTCTGCAGCTATAGTGAGAGCCAGACCCCCACCACCCTCTGCCCAGGGGACAGGGGACAGTGGCAGGTGAGGCCTGGGGAGGGGTCTCAGCAGGTAAGGGAGGAGAGGGTCCCAGGCCAGCTCTGTCTTATCTTGTGTTCGCCCTGCCTCTCCTCACTCTCCACACTCACAGACTGTGAGATGCTTGCAGCCCTTCCCTCCACTGTTGGTCCCTGAGTGCTAAGGGTGAGGCTGTGCTTCCTCTGTGATGCATCTCTTCTAGGGACACTGGGCAGAGAAGGTGGGGAAAGTGGGCCGAGACTCCCAGAACCACTGAGGCCTCTATCTTCTACCAGGCGCAGCAGTCATGGCAATGGCAGGACATCCACATCCCTGGAAGTGGACGGTGGCCACCCTGGTTGCAACCCTGGTTCTGGGGGTCTCAGGTAACCAGAGTCCCTAAGTGTGTGGGGGAGAAACTGCCTCTGTGGACCCGTGGGTGTGTTCCTGGGACCAGGTGAATGTGTGTTTGTATCTGTGTGGTTACACAATTGAATGTGGGCCCCGTGGCTGTACTGGGGAGAATGAGAGGGAGCATTTATTTTTTATTTTTTGTTTTTGTTTTTGTTTTTTTGAGGCAGAGTCTCACTGTGTAGCTAAGGCTGGTCTAGACTGCATTATCTAGACCAGGCTGGCCTTGAACTTGTGGCCAGTCCTCTTATACCTGCCTCCTGAGGTCTAGGATTGCAGTTGTGTGCTATCAAGTGTTTTTACTATTACTGGCTTGTTTTGTTTCTTGTTCATTTTACTTTATTTGTATGGATTTTGCATTAAGCATGCCTGATGCCCAAGGAGACCAGAATAGGCTTCAGACCCCCTGGGACTAGAGTTGCAGGTGGCTGTGAGCTGTCATGTGAATCCTGGGAATCGTACCCAGGTCCCCTGCAAGAGTAGTCCGTTCTCTTAACTACTGAGTCATCTTTCCAGACTCCTTCTTTTTGGTTTTTGAGACATAATCTAACTTTGTAGCCTGGGCTAGCCTAGAGCCTGCTCTATAGCCCAGGCTCTCCTGGAACTCACTCTGGCTTTGAATTCTACTCAGTCCTCCTACTTCAGCTTCTCAACTTCTGGGATTACAGGCGTAAGCAAGTGTGTGTGGCTTGTGTGGCCTCCTCCCCTACCAAATGTCTATGCGTGGCAGATGGTACTGACCCTTGAAGACTTTGTGTGTGGCTGGGTGTCCTTGCGCTTCAGATCGCGTTTGGTGCTGCATCTGTGTGGGTGCACATTCCAGGTCGGTGTGGATGCTACTATGCGTTTGGCTCAGTGTGTCTCCTTTGTCTGGAATGCAGTGCAGCTCTGCTCATCACTGTACCATATATGACCCTTGTGTTTGCAGATAGCCCCTTTCACGTGTGAGGTTGTGTTTGTGACAGTATTTGTGATCCTGTGACAGGTGGAGCTTTACATGTGGGGGGCTGCGCGTTTGGGGGGCTGTGAGTGTGCTCATGCAGCTGTTTCTCGGGCTCCTGACCCTGCCTCGGGGAACTGACTGAGAAGTGGCTGTAGGTGGTAGTAGCTATGATTCTCTCAGCTGTGCCAAGCTGGGAATCAGAACACAGATGTCCTGTAAGTGTGGTGTGCCAGCATGCCCATGTACAGAAGTGTGTGTGGTACTCCCGATCAGAACACAGATGTCCTGTAAGTGTGGTCCTGGAAGTGTGGTGTGCCAGCATGCCCATGTACAGAAGTGTGTGTGGTACTCCCATCCACACATGCCTACCTGTCACTCAGATGTTGGTCGGGGCTATGAGCTCCTGAGGGAAGGCGCCTGACACTTGGGAGCAGGTGCACTTGGACACAACACACGTGTTCCTTGGAATGTGCCTGTGGGTGCATAGCGCACTGAGACCCCCTTCTCTAGCTCATTAGCAGTGACTAGCCTGTGAGGGATGGGCGTGGTGGCAGAAGGCATAAAGGTCTATGTGGGAATTCAGAGAGTGAGCCTCGCTGTACCTTCCAGAGTCCCCCTTTCGGTCCCCTCCCCAAGCTCCACCCAAGACCTCTGACTCCAACCACTATTTTCAGCCAAGTCCGTAGTTCCCGCCCCCTTTTTACTAGGTTCCAACTTGCTCTAGGTGGCTCCAGAGTTCAGCTCCACCTCCCCTTCCAAAGTCAGGGCTCTTTGTGAGATTGATCACCCCAAGTGATCTTGGCCTCGCCTCTCCCTAGACTAATTCCATGTCGCCAGCCTCCCAGGTCTTAAACTTGCCATTCTGGTGCCTCAGCCTCCTGAATAGGTGGGTGACAGGCTTGTGACACCAGGCTTGGCTCGACTAAACTTCTGAAAACGAGGTCCCAAACCTCAAGTCTTCCCCGCCTGCTTAAAGGCTCTTGTGTCCCAGGGACCAATCCCCCGCCCCCAGGCCCGGTAACACCAACCGAGTTCTAAAGCAGTGTCAGGCAGGAGTCCCGAGGCTCGCAAAGTCCTAGGAGTCCACTAGCGCTAGCGATCTGTCCACAACCCGGGCTCCCTGACGGAGCTGCGACCTGCTTGTTCTTGTTCACAAGGGCCTATCCTACAGCCTTGGCCCTTCCCACACTGCTCTGACCCCGCCCCTACAGATAGGGCCACACCTGACTGACCTGGCCCACCTTTACCACTTGGTCCTACTTCTATAGCCCTGACCCAACCCTAGCCTCACCCCTACAGCTCTGTTGTCTACATTCTAGGACTCGGTCCTTCAGCCCTTGCCCAGTCCTATAACCCCCGGCCTCACCTCCACGTTCCTGGTTCCAATTTCTTATCCAAGAGCCTTGGGCGTCAGGTCAGACAATTTGGTTGGTTCCAATTCCTGACGCTGAGAATACCCCTGCATCCAAGCCCCTGCCCCGAGTTCAAGTCCCGCCCCCAAGCCCATTCTCCACCCACTCTATTTCCAGAACCTGTTCTTGCTGAGGATGTTTCCTCTTGTGGCGACCCCTCTGGCAACCGGCCCTCTGGGACTAACAGAGACCTCAGCCGGGAGTCCGAGTCAGGGGAGGATACCCGTTCGGACAGCAGTTCTCGCATTATAAATGGGTCAGATTGTGAAAAGGATGCACAGCCATGGCAGGGGGCACTGCTGCTGGGACCCAACAAACTGTACTGTGGGGCAGTGCTGATCAATCCGCAGTGGCTGCTCACAGCAGCGCACTGCAGAAAACCGTGAGTACAGCTGGAGAAGAGGGGAGGGAGAAAGCTGGGGAGAGGGCCATAAGGGAAATCTGGGGAGGGAAGGAAGAGTGGATAAGTTCATGGATGGAAAGATGAAGAAGGAAGATGGGTAGAAGGAAGAAAGATAGGAAGGAAGAATGGATTGATTCATGGATGGATGGATAAATGGATGGATGGATGGATGGATGGATGGATGGATGGATGGGTAGATGGATGGGTTTGTGGATGGATTTGTGGATGGATGGATTTATGGATGGATGGATGGATGGATGGATGGATGGATTTATGGATGGAAAGATTGAAGAACAGATGGAGACAACAGCACGAAGATGAGGTTAACACTAGTAAGAGGGCTGATCTGGGCATGGGAGGTAGGGATTTGAAGCTAAAAGGAGTAGAGATAGATAAAGAAAGAGATTACAATAGAGGTAAGGAGAAAGGTAAGGAGGGAGACACAGGTTGTAAAGATTATGTAGAGGACAGACGTGAGGAGTGGTTTGGAATGGAGGTGGGATTAGAGCCTATGAAGACAAAGATGAGATTAGAAAGGGGCTGGGTATAGGGCTTGGATTGGAGAATGGGTTGGGGTTAGAGTCAGGAAAGTGACTGAACCTGGCTGGATTTGGAGATGGAGATAGTTGAGTGTGGTTTGAGAGATACATGTGCATGGTTTGGGGCTGGGAAAAGAGTACTGTTGGGGTCGGGCACCCATACATTGATGGTTTAGGGTGAGATAGATTTGGGGTTGGATATAGAATGGAGGTCAGGGGGAAGTGTGGTGGGTGGAGAGAAAGACAGTTGACAGAGTTGCGGCCAGGAATGGATAGAAGACAGAAGGTGTAGCTGGGTTTGTTTATGGAGGGAGGGATGGTTAAACACTTTGGGGTTGATTTATTGTTTTATCATTACTTTGCTCTTTTTGAGAAATGGTCTCATGTAGACCAGGGTGGCCTCATACTAGCTATGTAGCCGAGAATGACCTTGAACACCTGATCCTCCTGCCTTCATCTCCTAAGATCTGTGTTTCCAAGACCTGCTAAGATGGTTACATTGGGTGCAGGGCATAATTTGATTATAGGCAAGGCATAGACAACCCCAAGACATAGACTTGGGATTGAGAACGCTCAAGCTCATGGTTGCTGGAGGGTACACACTCAGGTTGCAGTTAACGTGGAAGATGAATGCAGATAAGAGTTGTGCTGGGGTGCACACAGGGTAGAGACTGAAGGAGATGGGGTGGAGTTAGGGTTGATGATGGTATGTGTTCAGAATGGCTAGAGTTGGGGTTAAGAGTTGGGTTGAGGACAGGATTGAATTATGGATGAGGATAAGAGGGAGTGAGGATGGAGATGGGATGAAGATTGATGGCGTTGGGGTTAAGGATGGGTTAGAGCAGGGATTGAGGCTGCCTCAGACAGGTGGTCAGAGTTCTGGGCTGCCAATGATCTTTGTCATGTTCCTCAGAGTGTACAGAATCCGTCTGGGCCACCATTCCATGTCACCTGTCTATGAGTCTGGGCAGCAGATGTTCCAGGGGATCAAATCTATCCCTCACCCTGGTTACTCCCACCCTGGCCACTCCAATGACCTCATGCTCATCAAAATGAACAGAAAAATCCGTGACTCCCACTCAGTGAAACCCATCAAGATTGCTTCTGACTGTCCTGCCCAGGGGACCAGGTGCCTGGTGTCTGGCTGGGGGACCACAAGCAGCAGCCACAGTGAGTACACTGGCTTATCCTAATTCCTGCTCTTCCAGCCAACTCTCACCACATAGCCCAGACTATCCTGGAACTCTGCATCTTCCTGTCACAGCCTCATTAGGGCTTGGTAGCAGGCATGCCCCACCATGCCCAGCTATGCTGTCTCTCACTCTCTACCCCTCTTGATGCTCTTGTTTGACAGACAACTTCCCCAAAGTCCTCCAGTGCCTGAATATCACTGTGCTGAGTGAGGAGAAGTGTAAAAACTCCTACCCTGGACAGATAGACAAGAGCATGTTCTGTGCTGGTGATGAAGAGGGTAGGGACTCCTGCCAGGTAAGACTGGATGCGCCTCCATTGATCCAGAAAAATCACCGAGTGCTGTTTATGTTTTTTTAATATTTGTGGGAGTGCATGTGTCCTAATGTGTGCATGAATGTCAGAGGGTAACACATGGGAGTCTGTGGGTTCCAGGGACTGAACTCGGGCTGTCAGGCTTGGCAGCTAGCACCTTTACCACTGAGCCACCTCACTGGCCTATCAAGTGCCTTAGAGATTCCCTGGACTCTATTAAGTACCAAGACCCTTATTTTCACAGAGTTCATATTCACTGTTCTCTGATGGACACACAGCTGGAGCCTCCACATTAGATTTCTGGGTTTATATAGGAAAAAGTTTAAAAACAAAAGGAAATGGGGCATGACTTGTCATCTCAGATATGTGGAAGGCTGAATTGGGAAGAATAAAATCCAAGAGCCAGCCTAGGTTACAGAGTAAGTTCAAGGTTTGCCTGAGTAATGTAGTTAAGCCCTATCTCAAAATTAAAAGTAAAAATGAAGCTAGGGGTATGGCTCAGTGGTAGAGCCCCTGCCTAGAACCACCCAGTGAGGGGCTGGGGGAACGTCTCAGTGGTAGAATGCTACAAGGCTTGAGTTCTATCTCCTGACTCACAAAACAATAAATAAAAAACTAAGGAGGTGGAATTAACATTAATAGTATATTGTATTCGATTAATTAATATGTTGTCTCTCTATGTTCTCAAGTTACATTTTTCAGAATTTAATTAATATATAACAATTATAAACACACCATTTACACACAGACACCCAACACACAATGCCTTTTACCCTGGAGACCCATTTCAGTTTTCTAGACATACTTCAACCACCATATCACAATTCAGGTCTGGAAGGAGGGGTCAAAGCTGTTCCTTGTGGTCAAATAGGTTGTGCCCTGCAAAAGGTGCTACACCTCAGGGGTTCCTCTTTACATAATGGTTGTCTTAAAGCATGTGGTGGGCAAATGTCTCATTGTAACAGAATTCATTAGATGATAGTTTTCTAATAAATGATAATAAAATGTCACGAGGAAAGAAAAGAGAAGACTTGTTTTAAATATTTTAAAGTGTGTCTAGGTTAGCCTTCATTGTTGGAAGTGCTGAAGAAGCAGAAATAAGACAGAATCCTCTAGTCAGGGCTAGAGAGACGGTTTGGCCATTAAGAGCACTGGCTGCTCTTCCAGAGGTTCCTCATTCTGTTTCCACTGCTCACACCTGTAACTCCAGCTCCAGGAGCTCTGATACCTTCTTCTAGGTTATCTGCACTCACATGATATACCCACACACAAATTCACACATGTACATGCAATTTAACACAGTGGTTCTCAACCTGGAGGTCGTGACCCTCTGGAGTGGGGGACACCTAAGACCATCCTACCTATCAGATATTTACATTCATAACAGTAGCAAAATTAAAGTTACGAAGTAGCAACTATAAAAATAATTTTATAGTCGGGGGTCACCACATCATTAGGAACTGTATTGAAAGGTCCAGCATTAGGAAGGTTGAGAATCACTGATTTTACATAATAAAAATGAGTCTTTATAAAATGTACAGTAACAACTTAAAAAGAGCTCCCTTGGTCAAGAAACTTATAAGTAGTGCTATTTCAGAAAGTTATATGGAATAACTAGGAAAGACAATGTTGTACAATAAATAATAGAAATAATCCCTCACCACAGACAATGCAAGGACCAATCTTCATGATGGTCGTGAGGAGGGCTTCCTTAGGTAGGCTGTATAAGACACCCTGTCCTATAAGACACCCTGGAGCCAGACACCCTGGGCACAGAAAAGTCCTGTGCAGAGGCAGCAAGGCAGGAATTTGGCTGATTCAAAGAATGGAAAGGAATCGATATTTCTTGACACAGTTGTGTTGGGGGAAGCAGTTTCTGAGCTGAGGCAGTAACCGGTGGATCCCTGAGGCTTGCTGGCCAGTCATCCTAGCTGGATCAGTAAGTTCCAGGCCAATGAAAGACTGACTCAAAAAACAAGATGGACAGTGCGTGAGGAAGGATGTCAGAGGCTGTCTTCTGCCCTCCACCTGTGCATGCACACACACACACACATATGCAACAACAACACTAACAATAAACAACCGCAAGATTGGCACGGCTAATAAAATTACTGTGATGGCTGACTAAGGGCTGGCTCTGTTTCACCGTATTTACAGGCGTCCACTCATAGCACAGGCAGCAGCTATTGTGACCTTAGTGTACAGGTTCAGAGAAATTGACTAATTGACTCTCAGAACTCAATGGAAAGATTTAAAGAAAAAGCATTGAGACGGCATCCGGACCTCGTACATAGCCTAGGACTCCAGCCCAGCCTGACCCTGTCTCAAAACAAACAACAAGAAAAATAAACAGAGGGAGCAGAAGAGACAAGGAGGGCAGGGGAGAGGAGAGATGAGGGAAAGCAGGAAGGAAGGAGAGAGGAAGAAAAAGGAGAGAGGGGAGGGAGGGAAGCAGATAGATAGATAGACAGATAGATAGGCAGACAGACAGATAGATAGACAGACAGATGATGGGGAGATGGGGAGGAGAAGAGACAGACTAGAAATCTTGTGAGAAGAAGGTTAGGGTGTTGGCTAGAGCCTGGCGGGTGGGCTATCTACAATCTGAACTTGAAGTGAAATACTGACAATATCCTTTCTCTCTGCCTCTGTCTGATTTACCTGCATTGAATGCTGTCTGTCCTCTCCCCCTTGTTTGTACCTCCTTCCTGTGCCCCTGCCCGTCTGCATCAACACATGGTGCTGGGTGTCTTGTTCCTTCTCATTCTACCTCACCACATCTCTGCCTCCTTTCTTTCCCAACAGGGTGATTCCGGGGGACCTGTGATCTGCAACGGCCAGCTGCAGGGCCTTGTGTCCTGGGGTGATTTCCCCTGTGCCCAGCGGAACAGGCCAGGTGTCTACACCAAACTTTGTGAGTTTTCTAAGTGGATTGATGATACCATCAAATCCAACTCATGATCCACACCAGGACCCATGGAGCCAGCATCACCCCACTGCAATGAGGAGCACTGTCTCTCTTTGAGGATGTTGTAGACAGTTTCCAGTCTCCCCAGTCCAAGCTCTATGTCTCTTGTCATCAAGAGCCTCATCTCAAATGGTGGACTGGCTCTGTTGCTATAGCCAGACCCTAGGAACACTTCCTGGAATTTGGGTTCAAACCCATCATCCTCAGTGGATCTATCCACAAACCCAGAGTTGAGCCTTTTCTGCAGTCATAATTAGACCCAGAAATAAAAAGCCATGGGAAGAATCTCCTTGGTATGTATGTCTCCTCCTGTGCCATGTAGCTGTGGGCAAGTGGCTATCTTCTTTTCTATTGCCTGCTAAGACACCAAGACCAAAGAAACTTAGAGAAGGAAGAGTTTACATGGGCTTACAGTTTAAAGGGTTAGAGTCCATGACCATTATAGGACGGAGCATAGCAATAGGCAGGTAGGTGTGATGCTGGAACAGTAACTGAGAGCTCATATCTTGAGATACAAGCACAAGACAAAGAGAAAGCTAACCGGGGGTGGCACAGGCATTTAAAACCTCAAAGCACACCCAGAGACACAACATTCCCAATCAGACTGTACCTCCTAATTATTCCCAAACATTTCTACCAACTGAGGACCAAGCATTCAAATATATGAACCTATGGTGACACTACAGTGGCTTCTCCTCCAGGACAATGCACTTGCGTGGGTCCTTTGGTGACTTCACATTTTCTTCACAAACAGTAACTGTCTTAGTTACTCTTCTACGCCTGTGACTGAGCACCTGGCAAAGTCAACTTAAGGGAGAAAGTGTTCATTCTTTCCCACATTTGCAGATCCAGCCTATCATGGTGGGAAAGCGGGGTTCACTCTTTCCCACAGTCCCAGGTCCAGCCTATCATGGCAGGAAAGCAGGAGCTTGAGGCGGTTGGTCCCACTGCAGCCAGTCAGGAAGCAGAGATGAACATTGTACTTCGGTGGCTTCCTCTTTAATCAGATCATGACCCAGCTTATAGGCTGCTGCTGCTGCCCACATTCAGGGTGTGTCTTCTACCTCAACTAACTCCCTCGCAGACATTCCCAGAGGCTTATCTGCTAGGTGACTCTAGATCGTATCAAGTCAATACTGTTAGCTAACCAAACTTGCTGTGTGACAGAAGCATAGCAGTCCCCCAATTACATCTCTACCCTAAATCTAGAATACATAGCTTAGTCCCCAACACATAGTATTCAACTTGGAATTTTTTAACTGCTGTAAAAAATGTACGTTCAGTGAAAACCACACCTCAAATGTTGCATTTTGGTCTCTCCCCAAGCTAGTGATATGCAGTCTGATATTACTATACTTTGGATATTAAGTGTCTCCAAAAGGCTCATATGTCAAAGGGCTGGTCCAGGCTGGTAGTGATCTTGAGAGCTGCAAGACCTTGGAGAGACAGATCCCAGTGGAAGGAAGTTGGGTCATTGTGGATAAACCCTCGAAGAAGGGCAGGACCTTATCCCTTCCTCCCTTTTTACTTCCTGGACGCCACGGTTTGAGCAGCCTCTTCCACCTCCCAAACCCACCACATCCCAAAGGCAAGATGAGTTGAAACCTCTAAAACCCCAAACCTAAATACATCTTTCCTCCTTCTCAGGTATTTTCTCATGGAAAGCTTGGTCACATAAACTTTCTCTCTTAATGGTGGACAGAGGCAAGAAGCCAGGTTCCATCGATCTTATTCTACAGAAGCAACTCACTATGCGTGGTGTGCTGATGACTGGGACAAGTGGGATGTTGTGAATGAATTTGTTTGTTTCTTTTCTTTTCCTTTTTTGTAAAAAATATTATTTTATGTGTATGGTTGTTTTGCCTGTATGTATGACTACCTGTGTGCAGTGCCCATGGAGGCCAGAAAAGGTATCAATCAGATCCCTTGAGACTAGAATTACAGTTTGAGATGCCTTGTGGGTACCAGGGAAAAGACCCAGGTCTTCTGAAAGGGCAGCCATTTATCTTAACCTCTGAACTATCATACCAGCCCCATCTTTTTGTTTCTTCAATTTTTTAAACTTTTGGGGGGAGAAGGGATGACTTGTGTGGAGGTTAAAGAACAACTTTTGAGAGTTTGTTTTCTCTTCCCACCATGTAGGCTCTGGGATCAAACCCAAGTCTTCAGGCTTAGTGAAGAAAGTCTACACCCACATATTCGTCTCCCCAGACCCCAGATTTCTTTAGATTTATTTTTTATTTATGTGCATCTGTCTATGGTCATGTGCACAGAGGTAAAAGAGAGCATCAGATCCCCTGGAGCTGTACCTACAGGCTCTTGTGAGCCTCCCAGTGTGGGGTCAGGAGCTAAACTTGGGTCCTCAGCAAGAGCAGTATGTGCTTCTGACAACTGAGCCACCTTGCTGGCCTCCAGACGTTTTTTCTGCAGAAAGCTGCATAGCTATGCTAAACCAAGCATGCACAGTGGGGGTCCCATAGGTTCTGCTAGAGACAGGGTCTCTCTATTACATAGCCCTGGCTATTCTCGAACCTCACCATGTTGGGCTCAATTGGGTTGTGTTGTTTTGTTTTGTTTTTTTACACAGGGTTTCTCCATGAAGCCCTAGCTGTTCTGGAACTCACTCCGTAGACCAGGCTAGCCTCGAAAGCAGCCTGTCTGGCTTTCAACTGGATTCTTATTCTTAGAGCAAAAGGGGTGCTGTGCCTTGTTCTGAGTTTCCAGGGCTCAGCTCTAAAAAGGTTGGCTGGCTCAGCACGGCACAGCCAATCAACAAAGCACAATGTTTGAAAAGAGGACGAAACCTTGTTCATGTGTTTTGATTTCAAGAAGCGATGACCCTGGGAGAGTTTGAATATTTGCCAAGCAGCTTTTTGATTCTACTTTTTATGGAGTTTCACCTTATTTAATCCTTTGATGGAAAAGAGTGCATTTTGTTTAAATTTCACCACAGAGAGAACATGGAGACTGGTGAATCCCTGGAGTTTGCTGGCCAGCTAGAGCAGCCTATTCAGTGAGAACCTGTTTCATAAAATGAGGTGGGCATCTCCTGAGGAGTGGCACCTTGCCTTGACCTCTGCCCTTCACACACGCACACACACACACACACACACACACACACACACACACAAAGGTGTATTCACACAAAGACAGTGGGTTTGTGAGATATTTACTGTAACTGAGGCAGAAACAGAGCAGGGAAGCTGTGGTAAACTCTCCACCTCCCAAAGACACGGATCCCATCTCCAATCTGCTTCTTGCAAGTGGCAGAGCTTGGATGCACCCCAACTCAGGACCATAGTCACGGCAAGACATACAGATGGAACAAGGAAGAGAGGCCAGTGCCCTGTGACCTGGTCTGACTCCACACTAGGTAAACTGGATAAAACTCAGATGAGCTCACCCAGTCCTCCCCTTCTCTCCTGGCAAAGCCCAACTATCATGTATGTTAGCTAGCAAGTGACCTGCAAGTATCAAGGAAGCCATGGAGCCTAGATCTAAGCAAGACGACGGAAGCCAAGGGCTCCTAAGGGCAGTCAGTCTCTGGGGAAATTGTGTATGTGTTAGAAGGGTCTGGAGTCATGGCTCAGTGGTAGAGCCCCTGCCTAGAATCCCCAGTGAGGGACTGGGAATGTGGCTCAGTGGTAGAGCCCCTGCCTAGAATCCCCAGTGAGGGGCTAAGGGTGTGGTTTCCAGGTCATTTGTGGACATGAGCAGTATCTGGGTTTGGCCAGCAATGCAATAGGGGGGTGGTTGATAAGCTCATTTCAGCTGCACCCAGTTTATCTAAAGTGTGGAGTCAGACAAGGTCACCCAACACCAGCCTCTCCTCCTTGTTCCAAGTGAGAGAGAGACAGCTTGCCTGGAATGTGCAAGTCCCTGAGTTTAACGTCCCCTGCCCTCCCCATCCCTCACCCCACCCCAATACTGAATTTAAACATTTTGTACATTTTATTTGTTTTATTTTATATGTGCAGGTGAGAAGGATGAGGAGGTGCTCGCATGTCTTGGCCTGTTCTGTCAGAGAACAACTTGCAGGATTTGGTTTTTCTCTTTCTACCCTGTGGGTCCTGGGGCTTGAACTCTGGTTGTCAGGGTTGGAGGCAGTCATCTTTACCAGCTGAGCCGTCTTGCCCACCTCGTCCCCTGTCCTCCATCTTCCCCTGCCCATCCCCCAGCACTGATTTTTTTTTTAAAGAAAAAGGAAGGGAAAGAAAACTGAGTGGGGGCTGGAGAGATGGCTCAGAGGTTAAGAGCACCGGTTGCTCTTCCAGAAGCCCTGAGTTCGATTCCCCAGTGCCCACAGGGTGGCTCACAACCATCTACATTCCAGAACACTGTATACATAATAAATAAAACTTTAAAAAGAAAGAAAGAAAGGAAGAAAGGAAGGAAGAAAGCTGAGGGCAGTAGTTGACGCTTGTAATTTCCATACCCAGGAGACAGAGGCAAGGAGGGTCTGCAGATTGAGGCCAGCCTGGGCTACCAAGTGAGAACCGGTCTCAGTAACAAAACTGCTGTGGGTGCAGCTTGGCTGGTGGAGCGCTCACCTAGCTCTCATGGGGTGTAAACAGGGTGTGGTGGTGCATTCGTTAATCCCCGAACTTGGAGACTGAAGCAGGGAGCTTAGCACTTCAAGGCCACCATTGGCTGTAGGGAGAGTACAGAGCAATCTTTGGAATACATGAGACCTTGTCACAAAACATGTCTAAAAGGAAGAGATATGGTAAAGTCTGAATACTCCTCCCCTACCGCTCACTTGGAAGGTGGGTACCCTGGGGAGCACTAACCACCTTACACCACAAAAATAAAAGCCACCAAATGGTGACTGGAGTGAAAACCAGTTGTAGGTCACCCTCTCAGGACTTTCCTTCCTGCTCCAGCCCTGTATAGGTTTCTCTTACTTCTGCTTGTATTAAGGTATATAAAATGCAAGTGTCAGAAATACTGTCTTTGGCTCTCTGTGCTGATACGGAGGGGAGGGTGTGGGAAA